CATAAAGGTTAGTGGTATAAGGAGGTCCTTATATATGCTCTCTAATGGGTCCTCATTGAGAATACGTTTAACAATAGGGTTAAGCTATATGAGGAGAGCTTACTAATTGTTTATGCCTAATTATGAACCAATAGGCTCTATTTGAGCTTATAGATCGTGAGAATAAACATCTCTATTAATGGTGTTTGCTATTAGTAATCTATTAACCAAGATTATTCCTCTATAGGTAGGGACGAGAGGAGAAAGATTGGTCCATTAGATAGAGGGAGAGGTGAAGATTGTTGACGAAATACTCGGAATAAACCTTATAACCAAGTTTGAGATTGGTTATACCAATGTATTCTATACAATCAAATACCAAGGATATTATTATCCGAGAAAGATGAGAATATCTATTCCATTTCTTAATATGCCTCAATCCCTATATTACAATATTCCCAAAATATTTTACATATTCATGGTAATTAATTATTTTATGTTCAATCTAGAAAAAATATATATGGATATTGATTCATATGGCACTCACTCGTATCCAAAAATAATAAGCGAGTTCAAATCTATGGTGACTGGACAATATTACTATTTTCCCTCTTATTGCATCGTATTGAGCCATACAAGGATGGAGTCGGTAAAGATTTACCAAGTGTTGGCTTAAATAAGATTCCATCTAATGCTACTTGCAAGTTAAAATTTCATGGCTAATTTGGAGATAAACAATCCTTATTTATGCCTATTAATTTGTAATGATTGATTATCTCCCTATTGTAAATATATAATAAGATGGAGAACCTAATAGTTACCATTAAAATAATAGTGATGAAAATATTATTCTATGGCAATCTCTCTTTAATAGGAATTATCATATTGGTTACCCTTAATGTCTAGTTAGAAGTATGCCTCTAATAGGATATACCTTAGACAATACTATAACTATGATATCCCACCTTTGGATATATGATATTATTGGGTATGATACTTTCCATCATTTAAAGTACATTCAAATATATGTGTTATAAATCATTAGTCCCTCAAGAATATAGGAGTAGATGGTTATTCACTATATTTCTATAAGATTGAGTATAAATGATGAAAAGTATAATTTCATGATTAATGGAGAAGGCTTCTAACAATATACTTTTCTCAAATATCACTATTTTCTAATAGACCATCGTAAGGAGCATTCTAGCTTATAATGATGGGTCATTGTATGGATAGTTTAGGAGAATATGAGGTTTGGAAAATATTAATGGTTACCATAGCTTAGTCAAAATAGGGTTTATAATCCAATTGTATTTAATGGGTATAAACTGATTATAGAGTAACAAATAATATATAGGAGACCATAAATTATGGTACTAGTTTTAGAAGAACAATAATGATAAGGATCACCCTTCAAGAATTGACCATTTCTATTTTTAGATACTTGAATAATCACCTCTAAAATTATGGTTTGTAAATGTACCTTCTATGATGCCCATATTTACACACCCTATATCCCCTTAACATCTTTTTACCCTATAGTATCCTCTCATATGATTGAATTGGTATTCCTTATAATGACCCCTTATAACATATATCCTATTTCCTATACACAATTCATCCTAACCTAATACGGTTCTCACTAGAGATTTCAATTGACTAATATTAACCTATTAGGGGAAATTATCCATTTAAAATACCTTATGGGCTAGCTCATATAGTTGTTATAAGATATTTCTTATCTAATTGATGACCACATTAACAAATTAAGTAGATAACACGCTTCTATTATGTATCGTTTACTATTAGACCTCTAGGTTATTGTTAGATAATAATACACCATAATATATGGTCTCTCGTATGTTATTTGTTATCCTATAATCAGTTTATACCAATTAACCCGACAATAGGAGTTAATAGGGTTATACTAATTATGATCAACATCATGTAATGTAAAGGACCCTTAGGATTATACTAACATAACCTTGTATTTTCAATGATCGATACTAAATTGATATTGATAGAGAAAGGGAGATACTCCCCTTTACATTACAAGAATGCTACAAGGCTATTACCTTATCTAACCTAGGGATACAAGGTTATATATTATGAAAAGTGCATGAATAATATCCCACTCTCCCTCTCTCTATTGGCCCTCGGTTTAGTCCTATACTAATAGGTATAGCTTGGTAATAGAATAGGATTGGATAATATAGCATGATGGTCTAATCACACAAGTCTAGGCCCTCATAGTACTTTTTACAATAAGATCAAAAACTCTTATTGCACTAGGCTTAATTGAATCAATTAAAGAGCCCAAAATATCATATTTTTAATAATTATAATATATTTCCTAGTTTTGACAATCTCTATGCTTATTTCTATGAATCTCCCTAATTGATTCCCTTAATAATCATTTTCATGATTACTAGTAATGATTTTAATGGTATCATAGAGTATCAAATATAAAGGGGTCCGATAACATTGAGTAATATAGATAAGGATAAATATATCTCACGATAACGCCTTAGTATACCCCACTACATAGCCTATGGTTCACCCTATATTAGAATGCGAGTATTATTGGTATCCTTAGAGTTCTCATTAAAACATAGGTAAGGAGACCTAGTGTATGGTCTAGTATATTATATTATTAAGGACATAGTGATATATCAATGACTAAAGTGGTTAGGTATTTCTCTCAATATTTAGAATCTTATAATAGAGACACGAGTTTATGATAATATTGTAAAATATAGTTCATGCCTATTAAATAGATAATAGTTTAACCGATATAAACTATAAGGAATAATCTTTTCAATAGTTAATATCTCTCTTCATAAGATGTTTAATAAACCCCCATATAACCCCTACTTGGGAAAACAAGGTTAGAGTATATCACTCAATTTAATATGAGGTTTGATATGTTTACTTCTTATGGCCTATATTGACATTATACACTAGTAATATTATAATATCAATATTTATATCATATCTTTATACGATATAATTGTTAGTTATAGAGCTATATAACCGAATATCAATAGGTTTAAGGATTAACTAATGCCATAATTCCTTGTAAGCCATTGTCATGTGTAGAATGAGATACATTTTCGTTGCATATAATCGAATAAATAATGGTCCTTTCTATATTAAAAATATGATATATAGGGTTTGCTAATCGACTAACATATAGGGTTTGCCTCTCATCATTAACATGAGAGGGAGAAACAATAGACTATATAGCCAATCAAATGGTTTTAGCGTTGGGGACAAGGCAATGCCAATTGAAGACGCCAATTCAATAACAAGAGGAGCGGATCAATAGCGGTAACATATACCGAGGGAGATGGCCTTATCTAAGTTCATTTTCTATCATTGTCATGAGTATATTTTCGCATAAGGTACTGATAATCATGTCTACCTATGTAACCAGTAAGTAGAGTATATTGTTCGTAAGGAATACCATAAGATAGCTATTATTATATGCTTGATATGCTTTCTACCTAAATTCTACCTTTGAATGTATACGAAGAGTTATTGGTTGAATAAAAAATAGGCCTATGAGACTCAACATTAAAGTTATGTCCATATGAAGGTTATATGCTAATACTTCAACATGATAGGCTTTCATTGATGCATATCATAATTATGATATTATCTAATTAATCAATTCTAGGGAGAGGGGAGAGGGCCTACCATTGCAAGTGGTATTAGTAAGTATCATAATATTTGACATTAGCACTATAACCTTAAAAGTTATAATAGAAAAATATATAATCACTATATAATATGACAAACCTCATATTGGAAATGTATATTCATGATTAGATACTTCAACATGATAGCTATTAGGAATAATCCTACTTATATTGTGGGTCAATATAAATTTTAATCAATCTATGCCTTATATTCGTTCCTCTAGAGTATAAAATAGGTAATAATTATTAGTTAATCAAATAAATAGATGTTAATGATGGATCAACTAGTGATAATCCCAATGATTAAAGTGGATAGGGAATCATAAGAGAGATTACTATATCACTATTGAGGGCCTATTCTTCCTTAAACTATTTTATATCTCCCTCAATATAGGTCTAACTACTCACCAAAATGAGTAGGTTTCTCAATCCTCATAATCACTTGGACTAAGATGTCACCATGTGAGTTTCTATTAACTCGATATGCTGAATATTAGATAGTGGGCCCACTTAATAGAGGGTTTAATTTGGGTGTTTAATGTTGAATTTTTAGATTTTCATATGTTGGATGTTTGATATATATATATATATATATATATATATATAGCATTTTATAGACTACTTCCAATGGTAAAAAAGAATTGCCATTTTACAATCTCAATCGACTATATAATTTTTTTTTGTAAGACTGGAATACTTCTAAAGGGCATTGCGACCATTTTAAAAAACTAATGATAAACTTGTAGAAATTTGGACTTTTTTTATCTAAAGTTTTGAAACTATAAACATAGTTATAATAAAGAATGTTTTCTAATATGCATATTAAAACCTTAAAATGTAAAGTGTAATATATAGAAAATAAAAGTGGCGAGTGTTTATACCACCTAAATATAAAATATTTTTAATAATTTATCCTTATTTTATCAATAAAATTTCTTATTTTTGAAAAAAATTAATTTATACAAGTTTAATTATTTGTAAAATTTTAATTGGTTTGCTTCATAATGTTAAATAATGGATTGGATCCGTATAATAATTTTCCCAAAATCTAGTTTTAAAAAAATGTTTTCATAAAATATTCCATTAAAACTAAAATAAATAAAAAAATGTAATCGGGCCCAAATTAATTTGTGGTTAGGTACCATGTTGCTTTCGAGACTAGTAGTGGTATTTTCTTACGATAGAAGCAAATATAATTTTGTCACTAGAAAGAAAAAAATCCTCACGGACAATCATAGATCGAAGTGAAACGAGTGAGACCACCCGGATTGAGATCGAAGAGGGTTCCGTTTGTTTCTCAAAAAAAAAAAAATGGATAAGATGAACCAAGCATTCGAGAAAGTGAAGATGCTAGTAGAATAGAAGGGGAAGATGAAGAACAAGGTGTAGCAACACAAGAAAGCGGTTCCTTTGCTTTTATGGATGATTTCAATAGAGATCGCACCCTCTCCACTAAACAAGTTTGTATCTTTTCTTTGGTTTTTTAATCGAGTTGGCATTGAATCGTTAATGGGTTGGTTCCATAATTCAATTTTATGTATAGTAAAGGGCTTTTCTTTGGTCGCTAACTTGTTGTAAAGATGAAAAACTTGATAAGTTTCTTGCGAGTAATGTAATCTTGTCATGATGGCTTGTAAAGAATTAATTTTTAGAATGGTTGAAACACTAACACTACAATTGAAGATGTGCATTTTTTATGTTGTAATAATTGATGAATGAATCTAGCTTTATTTTGATGCCAAACTTGCTCGTTGTGGGAGCTAGATTTTTCAAGATAAAGTATTAATGCAATTGAAAGTGAGAAAGAAGATATTTTGAGTTTGTAATTGGAGGGTTCAACTACTTAAGAGTTAGTGTGTTCCCTTAGATCCAAATGCCCCCGCATCGTGCATAATGGGGCTGTTTTTTGGGCTTGCTTTTACTTCGATCTTTAAATTTCCCGCATTGACAACCAAATTGTTGACAACTCGTAGTCATAAAATGTTTTCTTAACTATGTATATGAACATTGGGTAGGGAGAACCCCGATCGTAGTTCTTTTACGGATATGGATGATTCATTTAAATTTGGCTAAAATTGAAAAGGGTGATTAGTTCTAAATTGAGGAATCGGTATTCAAGCATCACTGCCGACTAAGATTGGTCGGACATGCATTTGGTTTTTCCTTTGTTGGTATGACTATTTATTTGTTTTAGTTAAATTTATTTTGAATGTTTTATTGCTAATGCATCTTAATATGGTGTGCTTTCTCTCTTTCTTTCAAACGGAGGTTTTATGGGTTTGCCATATGTTTTTTTGTTGGCTTACTTTGTGTCATTTTGGTAAGTTTTACCACTTTCAAATTCTAGCTCCCTTTTCGGTACTATATCTTATCATTATCGGCATTTCGCTACATAAATTTCGGCAACGAATTTTTCTAGACGGAACACGACCCTTTTCGGTGTTAAAGGGCCATTAAGTCACCTTGTAATAGGTTCCTTACTAACCATATCTCCCATTATTACGAGAGTGTACCATATGTTTCCCTCATAATATAACATGAGATATGCCTCATGAGAATTATAGTTATAAATTTAAGTTATAGGGACATCCCATATAATTTAGGGGCTAATCATCTACTTGGTTGCCCTTTTTAAGAGTTATTTTACTATCAATAATAGTGACCAAATCATGTATGAATTTTACATATTGAATATTATGATCCATACACGGTCGTGGTTAGATGAACTAATAGGAAATATATAATTACACCTTATTAAATTAACCATTATAATTTTTGCATGTACACCGACCAATTACTATTAAAGGTAACATTATATTGTATGATTACCTCAACTATTATCATGGTGATATAGCTTAATTTGTCCGATATTATAAAAGATAGTCCATTGTCTCCATAGATTTACCCTTATCTACCATACAATCTTTGAATAATATGGTATGATGGCCTTATCACATAGGTCTAGGCCCTCATAGTACTTTTTGTAATAAGATCAAAAACTCTTATTACACTAGGCTTAATTGGATCAATTAGAGAGAGCCCAATATATTATATTGTTAATAATTATAATATATTACCTAGTCTCGACAATCTCTATGTTTATTTCTAGGAATCTCCCTAATTGATTCCCCTAATAATCTTTTTCATGATTACTAATAATGATTTTTACTATGTCATAGAGTATCAAAATATAAAAGGGTTCGATAACATTGAGTAACATAGATATAGGGAGAATTCGCAATCATGAAAAATTATTATTAGGGGAAGGTTGTATTAACTATAAGGGTATTAACCTCAATAACTCATTATTTACCATTCATGACTTGAGATATTGGAGAGAGATCTTAACCATGATACACTCTATTATAGTTGGCACTAATTTTAACCATGATGCATGATAACTTAATGTTATCAAACCCCTTTATATTTGATACTCTATGATATAGTAAAAATCATTACCAGTAATGAAAATGATTATTTGGGGAATCAATTAGGGAGATTCCTAGAAATAAGCGTAGATATTATTTCTTGGCAAAATAACCTCTCTCTTATAAACCCAAAATTTATCAATATACCTTAGTTGTCAATACTTAATTTAGCTTAATACTTAGGTTAATAATACATGCATTGAAGTAATACTAATAATCATCTATATATTATGGTATAAATATATGTCATGTTACACTAGGAGTCAAGATAGAATTAAATGACTATCCCATATCATCTCATCTACCCGAAACATTATCACCATAGGTCATTCTCTCTCTCCATCTCTCTCCAAGTCTTTCCATTAACTCTTAATTTTGGATTACCCTTAATTGAATATGTAAATAAAATACTTGCCAACTATTAGGCAAGTATCCATGAGAGTCTTAATGCAACTAGGTATGTATGACAAGTGATTGGGCGGAATTCTCCATGTGATACTCTGACTAAGAGAATAAAACAAATATGCTATACAATTTCCTCTAGGCTATTACATATAAAAAATGATATTGGTTAACCCTTATACTAATAGAAAGTGCCATGAGTGAATAAAACAATAAGTTAATTATGTATACATACTAAGAACTGGGCCTAGTATATAAAAGACCTATTATACTTATAGGGATCACCAATATTCAAGCAGTGTAATTGATTAATAAATGATAAGGATATACCTTAATATTCATAATTGGGGAATTATGAGGATGTAGGAGATTATTAAAATAATATCTCCTATAAAAAATGATATCTAAAATCATCTCGGTAGATATAATTCTCTACTCTTTATCTAACAAAAGGGATGCCCTATTAACTCTTGCCTCGTAGTTTAGTCCACTTGGGTGGAATTATCATCAACCTAGACTATTGACATACCCGTCTAACATATATCTTATGATATACACATTATACCCATTAGTTGATGCTAAATGTATAATTATATTAGACAAGTATGTTAATCGTCTATAGTATTAGGACATATCCTCTTATAATGTGATCTACATATAATCCCAAGTGAAACAAGTTATTAGTAATATTACCTACTGGTGATATCTAGAACAATGATATTATGGCAAATATCTCCCAATAGGGTTATATATAATGGGTTGTATTTAATAAACAATGGAGAGTTGATACAACATCCTCTAGATTATAACCTTCAATACCGGGTTTACTAGTGAGTAAAGATATTATAAATCATATTTTCCCTGTTGACTATTTTGATCGATATTATATCTAATGTATAATTATCTAATTTAACATTATAGGTTCCTCTTTCATAAAATCAACTTACTTAATAACCTTAGCTAATCATTCCAATTCATGAATTGATATACTTACATAGGCTTTTGTTTTTTTGTTCCTATTATACCGATGTATCATCCCTCTAGGTTAATACCGTTATAGTTAATACAGACCTCCACCCTAATAATCAATATCTTACCCTTCTCTTTCATTAGGTACCTATTAGTCTATCAAATAGTTGGCACCTTTCCTTATAAATAAACTAATTCACATAAAGAGTTATACACCACAACTAGAGAGATACCGGTATGTCTATTATATCAGATATCAACCCCTAATAACCAAACAGTATATCCATACTTACCTCTATACTATAATATCCTTTAAATAGTGTTATCCTAATTATATAATCCTAATAGACATTTCACTAATATTGGTCTACTATTTGGTTTAGTCAATGGAATAGTACAAACCAATACTAGGTTAATAAGGGAGAGAGGGAGAAGAGAGTAATATAATTTGAGTGAGGATTCAACATATTAGGGGTACCACAATAGAGAGATTACTCAATGGGAAAGTTTGGGAAAATAGTCCTATTATGGTGTACTTATGAAACAATGTGATTACCACTATTCGGATAAATTAGGATAAAATGAGACAATGTAAATGGATCAAATATAATTGACACTCATTCTTATATAAAAGATAAAAACACATTGTAATAAACTATAAGGAATACTCCCTGTTGGGATGATATATTTGGCATAAATAAAATGCATGTGAATGACAGTGGTTCTTCAAGCATGAGATATCTTTCCCTTAGAAGGTATAGAGATTAGCCCAATTAAATAGTATGGAGACTCGAACACTAATTGTTTAATGGGTATAATGATTATAATAAAGGGTCTAGAGATGGGCCAATTGGTTAAGGACTATTATCTATAATTAGCTTAAATTGATTATTAATTACCTATACGTGACATTATAGGTTATCATAAATTTACAAGTAGGTCAACTTATAATAATATTATATCTATTTCTAATTGATATAATATTATTATGGGCTAAGGGTAAATCATTATCCTTTTCTCCATATTCACCATACTAGGATTACTCCACCTTATGGTCATCTTTGAGGTCCTCCCTATTACATAACTATATATATATATATATGGATAGGTAAATATCCCACTATAATAAGTGGCTTATGAATAATAAGTTTATACCACTTTGATAACTTAAGGCCTATTATCTATTAAATGATATAAGGTATATATCCATTAATGCATGTAGTCGATATGATATACGGTTGATACGATATAATATCATATCGATCGTATGCATTAATGGATATATACCTTATATCGTTTAGCTCCAAAATCATAATGTCTCTTTCATATCTATTAAGACGGATGTGGGTACAATATCTTTTAGGTGAGTATGTGCTTAGGTATACCCATTATCCCTATGTAAACAACCTCAAATTATATAGGTCCCCTAATATGGCCATTTAAACTAAGATGGAGAGAAGAGAGACATGTAATATTATTTAACATATAATTTTGAGCCATACTATTGGATACCAATAGGCCATACATGAATATTTATAGAATAAATATCTATGTGACCCAAGTGTACAATACCCTTTTGCGGGATATTTGGAAAATTACATGATACTACTCCTTTCATGATTACCTTTAATATTAGATCTAGACTATTATATATCACTTAATAGATGGTTATCTCATCTACCCCCGATCCATAGTGACAACCCTTGTATATAATCCGAGTATATAATTTCACGAGGATAATTGTTATCACATTACATTTGTTTATATCCCTCTATATTGAAAGATGGTGTACTTCATCCCTAACAAGCCACATAAATTAATAGTCATGAGGGAGGGTAAATTATGTTGTAAGTAAAATTCCCATGATATTATCCACCTTTACCATAGATGTGGGGGAAAGTATATCTCCTCTCGGAGGATTGATAAGTTACATAAGGTATCCTTGGTTGATACCCAAGTATAAATGAGTATCAAGCGTTAATATACTATGAGGAAGGGATTACTTATAGTAGGTGACCATGTTAATGTGAAGGATATAAAGAGATATACTTAGGTACCTTCTATTTTGGTCAGGTTATATCAAGTTATACTATGGACTTAATATTATCAAACATATGGAGGACTTATTGGAATTATCTTGATAGTATATAATAATGCAAAATCGGTTATTGTAAATGCATATACCTCACTTATCACCATAGGTCCGTATCTAGTCCCTTAACCTAGATAAGTGATAGTTATATTAGGTTATCTCTAACAAAGTGGGACACCCTTCAAACGAATAATTTTTGGTTTGATATTGAGAGGTATCTAGAGTACCTCATTGTCATTATATCCCCATTTCTAATCCCAATTAAAAACTTTCCATTAACTAATACCTATTTGGTTAGCATTCAATTTATGCTCTCCAAAATGTCTCAGCTTTGGTTAGTTAGGCTCTTTTATTTGCCATCAACCATTTGAACCTAAATAGGGACTTATCATTGATAATCATTGATAATTGATAATGTGGTAAGAGTTCACATTACTCTAAATAGGTAAATTCAAAATTAAAATTATTATCGTTTAAAAACAAGAGTGTTCCTCCCCTCCTTTAATAATGATATAGTATATGTTTAGGATACTAAACCGATGGTCGATGCAATCCTTAGACCAGCTTGTTATCATGCCTTTAGTTATTGTTTCCAATAGCGGTTATATGGGGGTTTATTAAACATCTTATGAAGAGAGGGAATGCTATATTTATCGGAGGCTATTAGCAAAAAGGGCTATACAAGATTATCCCATCCTTTAGGTTATTAAATGCCCTTGGATATAACCTCCCAAATGTAAGGGTTTTTTTTTACCCAATTACTATCTATGTTGTCGATAGATGATAGACCATCGGGAGGAGCATTATCCGGACAATAGATTACCCATGTCTAAAGTCTATATATATATATATATCCCAACACTCTACGCAACACTATTAATAAGTATGGGGATCAATCTAATTCCCCACTCAATCAAGAGTAGCTAGTATTACTTTCTTTAATCCACATATGGTCAATAGAGCCGAGATTCAATTTTGATAATATACTAATATAATCCTATAATAGGAGCAATTACCCCGTTATGGATGACTATCAATATTAAACCACGAAACATATGGTCCTCTTCAATACCTTAGATATTAACAACTCGTTATTATGATAAATACTTTATGTATTTAACAATTGTCTCAATACATTTTAATATTACGACCCACCATGATATCCGACCCATAATATGGGGATCTAGTATGGCCAAATTTGGGCCTAACGTCACATTAAATCTCATTTAGTGAGGGTATACTTGAGGATGATCATTTTAGTACTAATTATATGGGTATAATCTTGATCATCCTTTAATAGCTATCGTTGTGGATACCTATTAAGTCTCTCACCTAATACCCACTATCCCCCAATACACATTTCACTATTGAAGAAATAGACCAATATAAGGTGGTTAGATAAGAGTTAGGGGCAATCTTTTACATTATATCACCTATCAATACCATCCTTAACACTTAACATAGTAAGAATTTATACATTATGAATGTATCCCACTATCTATTAGTCTAGGGTTATATTATGAAAACTCCTAATTTATATTATTCCCATCTACTCGATAATTCCTATCCTCATGCCGAGGATTAGTTGTGAATATCATTGTAACCCCCGTAAAAATTCTTAATCATATAAAAATACATACCAGAATATTCATATAGCTCTATATTAAGTGTGGGTGTAATTTATGTGACATTTTAATATTTTATGGTGTTAATATATTTGGTGTTTAAGTGAGTATTTATGGGAATAAATTTTGGGTAACTTAGTTAGCAATTATTTTCCTTAACACTCCTTTAGAATATGCTATGTAAGTAAGGAAAAAAATTACCTAAACATTAGGAGAACGTCAAAATTTTAGGGAAATGTCAAATTTCTTGAACCAAATTCCTCTACAATTACCGGTATTCTCATTACCCATCTTTTACTTGCAAATTGACACCTAAGCTTCCAAACTTTTCCCATTACTTTCCATCTCATCTCCTTTGAGATCCAAACCCGCCACCTAG